GCATTAGTTTTATTTAAAAATATGAATTAAATAATACAAAGGTTTTATCATTATAAATATGACTTTTTAAATAATTCAATATGAAAATGTTTTCACTATTAGTTTCTTATCTCTGTACAAAAAAAAAAAAACAGTGAAAATAAATTGAAAGACAAATCTATTGAATTATTAGCTAAATTTTTAAGAAAAAAAATTAACTATCACAAATTCTTACATCAATTTTGATTTTTCTAATAAAAAATTGACTATCTTTATCAAGAACTTTAATACTAATTTATGTGATTGTGCAGTCAAGATATTTTTTATTTTCAAATATATATATATATATCTAAATTACATTAAACAATCAAAATTTAGATAACAAAAAATAACATATAAAATCTTTCTATATTTTATGATATGACATATTCATAAGTGAAATATAGAAACCGTTTCTGACCTTGAATTTTCATAGTTTGATCTGCAAACTCTATAAATATTTTACATGATTAAAATTCATTATTCAAGATAATGACAAAACAAATAATAAGTAATCATGTGAATCTTTGTATAAAACATATAATCTATTAATATAACTGTGAAAATAGCCGAACTAGATGATTCAATACGAAGGAAAATAATGATTCCATTAGATAATGTGGTCAATATTGGACATAAATGCATCAATATGAATGATTATTTAGATTTTATATAACAGATATTCAAACAGATCAAATTTTTGTTGAATTTTCAAAACAAAATATACAGATTGCAGTTTATTACATAATCTATAAAAATAAACAAGTGAATATTTTTTTTATCTATTAAAATTTTAAAGTAACTATATTAGATTAAATAAAAACATAAGCATAAATATATAAAAACTAACAATTTTACTAAGACAATATCAGAAAAAAACCAATCAAAATTGTCATTTTCTTCATTATGCATATTCAGTAATTATTATTACATAAAATCCATTGTAATTTTTCGTTTGAATAACAACACAAAGATATCTATCATTACAACAGCGACAGATTTTTTTAAGGACACATGGTAAACTAACATCAATTCGTACGAAATGTAACATTTTGAGTCTCGATAAATCTTCTACATTCGTAACAATAACCCAAGTTCAGTACAATCATACATCAATATAATACGAAACATTTGTCTTTTGAATATCATCATGATAACAGCAAATTCTTTTTATAATTCATCACGTTGCAATAGTGAAAGATTTTCAGTCGCAATGAAATTCAAAAAAAAAAATTAAAAACTTCATCATCAACTTAATAAAATTAATTGATCAAAAGAGGTCGTACGGGTAACTTCATCGGATTTTTTATTTCAAATTGAAACAACTAAAAAAAACAAACTTTTCGATAAGAACACAACGTGTACTGAATAAACATAGTTTTTTATTAACAATGTGTAAAATGGGATGTATATTAAATGTAATAAGGGCTAATAGATTTTATTTCTGCTTACGTGCTTCTTGTTGGACTCTATCGGTTTCATTGGTTTGTCTGTTGTGATTTATGTTTATATTTACTAATATTACAATAATACTTACTGAAAAGGACAACAATAATAGTTATTATTTTTCATAACATAACAAATGATCAATGATTCAAATACACATATGATTACTTTCAGTCAAAATAATAATATTTTACCTTGGAAGTTAAAAGTATTGTATGCTATTTTTTTTTAATCTTAAGTTCAATCAAAGAAAATGTGAAGATTTTTGTTAGAAAATATAAAAACAGATCGAAAAGCTTATAGGTAACCATTGAAATGTAATTTAAAAAATTTGCTGTTCGTCATATTATATTTTACTTTTATAAAATAATATATATTTTCATAAAAATTATGATTTCATCAAATCATTTTCTTATGTTTCTTTTTAAAGAATTAATATTAACATGATTTTATTTTTTTACTAAAATACAAGTAAACATCTTATACATATTAAATGATTATATATACAAAAATTTTTCCTAAAGTACAAAATCTATATAAACTTATTTTAATAATTTAACAAACGATATTCGATATTAACTAATAATGAATTAGTTTATCAATTATATAATTACAAAATCAGATTATGAATAACTCTTTATTATTGTATTTATTATTGAATATAAAAAATTGAATTTGATGATCAAAAGTGAACAATAAATACTATTAATACGATTTCTTTTTTTCAAATATTAATCAATTCAAAAGAAAGACAAAAGTACATAGTTCAAATGTATCATCGAAGTAGAAATTCAATCATTATGCGTACTGTAGAACATTAGTAAAAGTTACAACAGAAAAATTATGATTTCATTAACAATTCAATGATATAGAACACTTTTCTCAAAAATATAACATTCTCAACTATTAAGCTAAGTAATATCTCCTTTCTATATCAAAAATTGAATATATACTTTGTATTTTACATAGAAATCTATATTATTAGTAAAACTCTGTAATAAATAGTTCATAAAAACTCCTCCATAATGACATCGAACAAAAAATGAAGAGAAAAGTCAAACATCAACATATTTTTAAAATATTTCATATAGGAATTCTTTAATGTATCATTTATCAATGAATAAAGTATTATGAATCGTAAAATATATATATCTGAACATATTATCATCTTGTCTAATATGTGATCACTATGAAATAGTTCGTATCAGACATTTTCAAATAAGCATTAATAAATTTTGATTCAATAAATAAAAATATTATATCTATAATTTAAATAGTTTATAAGAGTTTCACCTTGAAAAATAATCTAATTGAATATGTTTTGTATTGATGAAAACTGTTGACATCTAGTGACAACTGTTGACACATCTGTGACATGCCTATAAAATCGGTATTTTATGGATTGGACTTAAAAATCATTATATACGATCGTTTTAATACATTTGCTTGACATTTCTTGATTATCCTTTATAGAAACCAATGTAAATTTTTTCATTATAATTAATATTCGGTATGTAAACTCATATTTCTTGTTTTTGAAAATGATTTTATTGATAAAATTAGTTTTATATTATTGAAAAAGCAATTTTTTGTTTTGTTTTATAACAATGAATATGTTTTACATATAGAAAACGAAAGAAAAAAAAAAACGTTTCGGTCGAATAGGTTTCTCATATTTAACTTCTTATTGTTTTTAAAATAAAAATTAACTCTCGAAAGTTAAGATTTTCGTTTTATCAACAATCGAAAAGAAAAAAAGTTTTACAACTTCTTTTATTTTATTCTATAATAAGAATTTCATTCTAATCGATAAGAATGTTTGATTTTTGTATTTTTCTAAGTCGTATATAAACTTTTACGACTTCTTCTGACATTGATTCAAAACGAAGAAGAAAAAAAAAAAAAAACATACATAATCTCAAACTTGCTAATTTCTAACAGAAATGTTCTATACATTATTCTTTAAACGAAGAACTATGTATATACATTTGCCATGTCATTTAATGAAGCAGCATATTGATTCCTATTTGATTTTGTATATACTCAGTAAATGTGTTGACGTGACAAAAGGTGAAGAAACTGTATGAAGAACAGAACGAAAGACAAAACTTTCGATTTAACGTTTTATTTTTATATTCGAACTAGTTATAGAAAAAAAAAAAAAAAAAACCTTACATAGAAGAAAATAACACATAATTTAAAACACGAACATAATAATTAGATTATCATTATAGGTTATTTTCATATGAAATATTGATTGAATAAGACAGAATAATTAAGTAAATATTTTTATATCATCTAAAAATGTAAGGCTATACAAAGATGAAAGAAAAAAAAAGGGACGATTTAAATTATTTTTTATATAATGCCAATAGTATTTTTAGCTTTTGATTACAAATTTATTTTCATTATAAAGAAAGATATGTATTTTTTTTTTTCTCTTTCTCTCTTCTACTTAGAGTTCTTTGTTTTTTTGTTTTGTCATCTTTTTTCGTGAGTAAAAAAAAGGAACATATGTGCAGACGTCGGAAGAGAAAAAAAAGAAAATCAATGTATTGTCGGGCACACATTTGAGATGTTCGTCCATCATATAAACATTTTCAAGTGGCACAAACTGGTTATTCTATATTCATATTATGCATTCGTACGAGAAAAGGGACAGATTCATTCATTTATTGATTTTTATTATTTCATAGAAAAAAAAAAAAAAAACACATATATATACACTTAGCGTAAAATCTCCTCTCGGATTTCTAATCCTCATTTCTTTCTTCTTGAGTTTTTTTTTTTTTTTTTTTGGAAAAAAAAAAATTCCCCCCTTTTTTTATTTCATTCTTTTTTTTTATTTTTTTCATTTTTTTTTTTTTTGAGTTTTTTTTTTTTTTTTTGGCAAAGAAAAAATTCGACCCTGGTTTAATTGCGTCATTCATTTTGTTCATTATAATGTTTTGCTTTGCTTCGTTTTTCTTTTTTTTTGTATACATATAAATAGTAATTCGACTAAGTTAACCTTCATACTATGGACAATTGATAAGAGCATTAAGAGAATATTTTTTGTTATTATACGACATCGCTTTCGATTTTTTTTTTTACTTCTTTTTTTTTTTTTTTTTCTTCTTATTCTAGTGTCAATACCAACCCGATTAACATCGTTGTGAGTACGAAAAAAAAAAAAGAAGAGACTGTATGTCTACTTGTTGAATAGATAGACGAAAATGCGGTGTTTTTGTTGTTGTTGTTACTGTATGTTGGTCTGTCGGTTCACAATCAGAGAGAAGGGAAAAGAAGAAAAGAAAGACACACCGGCCGAAATTGTGTGTATGAGGTTCATATGTATATATATATAAAAAAAAAATGAAGAAGAAGGGAAAAAGAAAGGCTAATCTGCCACAAAGAGACAATGTAAATAAGAGTATAGCGCTTTATATTTGGTGAGTAAGAGGGAGAGAAAAAATAACGAATTGTCTAGTATATATACACGTATACTTCACATACCATACTTTTGACTTTCTGACGTTTATTTTTTTTTAAAGATTATGACGACAATTACAAGTGAAGATACATCGAATAATAATAGAAGTAGTACTAATACATCTCCTGCTTCATTTAATCTTGCTGGAGAATCAACATTATTAACAACAACACCAGCAGCAGCAGCAACAACAGGATCATCATCATCATCATCTTTATTAATATCAAATCGTGATCGATGTCGTCGTTGTAATCAACTTGTCTATGTAACAGAACGTATTGGTCCTGTTAAAGATTCACTTTATCATAAATTATGTTTTAAATGTTTAAAATGTGATCGTCAATTAGATTTTAAAACATATTTTACAAATTCAATTGATTTAAATGATAAAGAAATTTATTGTCAAAGTCATGTACCAAGATCTGGTAAAGGCGTTTTTTCAACAGAAAATATACATATACAAAATGTAATGAAAGCTCCAAAATTAAATGTTATGCAAAAACTTGATGATCGTCTTAGAGTAAAAAAAAAATTTTTTTCATATAATAAAAAGAGTTTTGTTTTTATTATTATTATTATTAGAGTACTCATATTGATTCACAATCAGTTTCAATAGCTCATGCTATGAAAGCTCAACAAATGTTTGAACAAGGTCGAGAAAAAATTTCTGCTATACATAAATTTCCCGCATTACCACCTGTATGAAAAAAAATTTTAGTTTAGATTTTTTTTTTTTATAATTTTTTTTTTTTGTTAGGATATGTTACGTGCACGTGAAGAAGTACGTCGTGCACAAAAATCTTTAGAAGAAAAACAACGTCAAGAAGAAGATCAATTATTTCATAAATTTCAAATTGATCGTCAATTAGAAGAAAAAAAAATTGAACGTGAAGTAACAGATGAATGGGAAAAAAAATTACAAATGCTTACAACTAAATATGAAGAAGATTTACAACGAAAAAAAGATAAAAATATTGAACGTGTAAAAATTTTTACTTTTCAAGTTTTTTCTTTTGTTCAATGAAAAAATAAAATATATTATTTAGGAATTAACACTTCGTTTTACAAAAGAAAAAGCTGAACTTGAACAAAATATGACATTAAAACGTGATAAAAAACGTGAAATAATTCGAAAACAATTAATGGAAAAAGAACAAGAAACAACACATTCACTTGTTTCAAAATTTAGTAAAGAAATGATTAATTTAATACAAGAAAAAGAATTAGCAGTACTTGTAAGTTTAATTAATCTATTATTTTTCAAATTTTTTAAAGTATAATAATTGTAAATCATTTTTATAGAAGATAAAAAATTTAAGCAAACAGTAGTTTTTTTTTTTTTTATATTAACCTTAAGAAGGAGAGAAAGAGAGAAACAAAAATGTGACAGAAGACATGCAATACATAAAGATCAATATTAGCAAAGATACTTGTACTGTCTTAGAGTATTTTGATGAATGAATATGTCAATAAAGAAAGAAGCAAAAAAAAAAAAACTTTTATGGTTATTATCGTTTGTCGTCGTCGTCTATAAATCTCTATCAAACTAATTCCTTGATATCAGAAGAAGAAAAATCAATATGGCTTCTGAAACCTTTAAATCTACTGTTGTTTTTTTTTCTCTTCTCTTCTATTTAAGTTTTCATTAAAATTATCAAATCAGAAAAAATAACGAATAATGTTTAAAAAACTTGATTGAACGTTATATATTTTTTTTTTTTTTGTTATTTAAAATTTAGACAGAAAATGGTGTTGATGATCAACGTGCAACATCATTACAATTACGTCAACCACCACCACCTCAACCTCCACGTCATCATAAACGTGATCTATATCAAGATCCATCGATATTTGAACATGTTGATCAACAAGCTATAGCTGTTGCTGAAAGTGAACAAACATCTTATACAGAATTAGTCGATCAATTAACATATGGTTTATTAACAGATTTAGAAAAAGCAAGGTAAATTGAAATTTTAGACAAAAAACAAAAATATTTTTTTCAATATTGTGAAATATTCCTAAAAAAAAAAAATTTTTAGTTATTTATGTAAGTATATGAAAATGAATTGCTTTTCATTTGTTTTTTTTTCCTGCTATGTATTTCTATTGCCGCTGGCATTATTATGTGTTTTGTTTTTAATCTCAGGAGAACGATTTAAAAAAAAAAAGATGTTAAATTGCATGTTTTTTTAATATTTATTATTATCATAGGGCAATTTTCCGGTGGATTACTGTCAAAGATTTAAATGCTATTGATTTTCAAAATACTCTTGCTGCTGATACACCTATGGGTTTATTACGTGGTATAAAATATGGTACAGAAACTTATCATACATTATTTATGCGTTTATGCAGGTAGAAAATATTAAAAAAAAAATTATTAAAAAATTTTTTTTTTTTTTATTTAATTAGTTTTGCTGGTTTACATTGTGTGGATGTAAAAGGACATTCAAAAAGTGTTGGTTATGAACCAGGTATGCATATAGCTGAAGGTAAATTTACAAATACATGGAATGCTGTTGTAATTGATGGTGAATGGAGATTTGTTCAATGTAATTGGGGTGCAAGGTAAATAATTTTTATAAAAATTAAAAATATTCTTTTTTTGGATGTATTATTATAGACATTTAGTAATGAGTAAAGATAAAAAAGAAGCTGATATGTCACCACCAAAACCAACAAGAGAAAAAATTAAATATCAAGTAAAAAATCAAAAAAAAAAATTTCTCTATTAAAGATAAAGTTTTTTTTTTGTATAGTATGATGAACATTATTTTCTACCTGATCCTGAAGATTTTATTCTTGAATTTTTTCCATATAAAACCGAATGGCAATTACTTGAAAAATCTATAACATTACAAGAATTTGAACAATTACCATTTGTTCGTTCATTATTTTTTCATTATCATTTATCATTTGTTAATCAACGACATGCTATTATACAAACAGATAATCGTGGTGCATGTGATATTAAATTACGTATGCCGGATTCATTTAAACAACGTTTAGCATTTCATTTTCATTTACGTTTTTCAAATTCATTAAATAATATACAAACAGAAGATTCAAATGATTTTCAAGGTGTTAAATTAGAACGTTATGTATTACATACAATACAAGATGATCTTGTTTCATTTAATATACATTTACCACAAGAAGGAGATTATTTTATTGAAATATTTGCATCACTTGTGGTAAATTATTTTTTTTGAAGAATAATTTATTAGAAAATTAAAAATTTCTTTTTATTTTAGGAACCTGATCCAAATCCTTTTGGACAAAGTTTTAAATTAAAATGTGTATGTAAATATCGTATTGTATGTAAACAATTAACTCAAAGAATGGTATTTTTTTAAATTTGTTTTTTTTTTTGTTTGTAATATTTTTCTATTGTTTAGCATCCACTTCCAACTTGTGCATCAGGTGAATGGGGTCCAGCTAAAGCTATTCGTCATTTTAATATTCATCCATTAACACATTTTCAAGCTATATTTGAAACACATCATTTACCAATTATAATTAAATTTAAATGTCCAAAACAACTTAAATTTCATGCTAAATTAAATTCAAATCAATATTCATCAATTAATAATGATAATAATAATGTATCAAATTCAACAACAAATACTCTAGATAAATATATTAAATATGAATATGATGAAGATAATTTTATTGTTACATTTATTATACAATTACCAAATGAAGGACAATATGGTATTGATTTATATGCACGTGATCCAGAATATCAAACAGAAAAACGAACAATGTCACATTGTTGTAAATATATAATTAATTATTCAAAATCAACAAATTTTGATACAACATCTCATAATAATAATAATGATTATTTATTTGATCGTATAAAATCAAATGGACAACAAAAACTTATGTCACCACGTAGTAATTCAAATTTTCATCAAACAGAACAAAATCATTCACCTCGTAAGTACAAAATATTGTATTAAAATAGAAGAAAAATCATGAAATAAAACTATAAGATCTTAAATCTTATTAGTAGTGAATTTTTGTATATATATATTTCCTCTTCGTAATAATGTTGAACAAGAGATAATGAGGAAACTCTTCAAGTCAAGTATCGTTTTAAGCTATGCCTAAGTTTTTTTTTTTTCTTGTTAGGTTCTTCATCATTACGAGATACAAATAATTTATCAATACCTATGCCTAAAATAGGTGGAAATTCAAATTTACTTTCACTATTTGGTATGACTCCTATAAGTCATACTGATTCAACAATAACATTATATTCAACAAATTCTATTGAATTATTATTTCAAATATGTAAAATGGTTGATTTTTCATTTGATCTTATATATCATCATACATTATCTGATTTATCATCACGTACACCATTAACAAATTTAAATCAACGTTTAAATGCATCAGATTATGTGACCATTAAACCAAATGGTGGTTTTAATGTTATATTTGCATTAAATTTACCTAAACAAGGTGTTTATACATTTACAATATATGCTGCAACAATAAATCCACGAAATGATGTACAATTAAATACACATGGACAAACAGAATTACCAGCTGTTTATACATATTTAATTCGATATGTTTAAAATATATCTTTGTATGTGTGTGTGTGTTTTTTTTAAAATTTCTGGTGTAAACAACAAACAGTTGTCGAATTTTTTTTTTTAGTATGTTGTTTTCTAACAAAAGAGAAAGCAACACTTGTCTGTTTTCTTTTCTTTTTTGTATAACATATCCGGAATTTTAGAGTGGTGTATTTGTGTGAATGTATACTCGTCACGATTATAAGAAGTTTTCCTTTGTGGCCTTGTTGTGTTGATGGTTCCTTCAGTTTTTTTTTTTTTTTTGTTTCTTATTTATATATATTTTTTTTTTCTTTATACTTTTTTTGTTGTGCACATTGATCGGCTCGGTCGATCGACCGATCATTCATTCGTTCAGTTTCTTCTTCTTCTTCTTCTTTTTTTTTCCGTTTGATGATAATAATATCGCAATATGCACGATCGAATAAAAAAAAAAAAAGTGTTGCTTCGGTAATAGTTCAATGATGAGTATATGTTACGTAGTCATATGTATATAGATGTTATATTCAAAGGATGACACATTTCCCTTGATACATCTTCTTTCTAATTGAATTTTAAGCATCAAACACAGGTAAGTTGGTTTATATATGATTTCGATAACATACACAAATTGAAATATGAAGAAATATCCGAGAGAATCAGATCCAATGGTCTACAATTACTTGAGATCAGTGTCATTCTTTTTCTTTTTTTTTTGTCTTCTTTACATATGAGAATAATAAACATCTAGACACAACTAAACACATTTTAAATAAGGTTTCATTGGCACGCGTCAAATGACCTTCAGTCAACAAGCATGATTCTCGTGATTTCTTTTTACTTTAGTCTACCTATTGTATTTTAAGTTATTATAATTATTGCCATCTCATCATAATACAATCCGTTGTCGTTTGTTCGTTCGATTGATTGACTGCAATCGTAGTTATATTGAATAAACGCCTTAAGGCTTACTAGACGCCGACGCTTTTAAACTAAAGTCAGTCTTGCGGAAGGCTATTCTACATGTGTTTCGTTTGACTAACTTCTATTGTCTTTATTATTCATATGCACACTTTGATCATTAACAATTTAACTTTCTATGTTGATATATTATCGACAAAATACAAAACATGCATGCACACACTCACATATAAGAAAAAAGATATCATACAACGTGTTCATTGACGTGCGAATAGAAAAGAAAGAAGAGATCAATTTCACTAATATAAATATAAATAAACGTATAGAAAATGCTATATACATAGCTAGTATCAAGTTCGTCACTAGAAGCGACAGATTTCCGCATAACTATTATAAGATATAAGAAAAGAGAAAATGCTAATTTCTCACGCATATAAGTATAAAGAGCTCTTACATCATGACCATCTTTTTCCTTGATATCATACTTATTGACCTTACTGGCCGAATTGAAAGACTATATTCTATTGACTAGTACTCTTGTAAGCAGAAACAAGAAAAAGTCATTCAATTGGAACGGCGATCCTCATATGTCATAAAAATGATGATTGATGCTCTTGGGAGTCTCTTACATGCGTTCAAGTATGTACCACTAGATTCGTTGAATCCTTGACACTATAGAAAATAAGAAAGAAAAGAAGACTAATTCAATGTGTATGGAGCAATACACATTAAAGATGATGCGAATAGGTCAAAGTCGAGTGATTTATTCGGGTGTAGAAGAGCCCCTGGGCGTGGTCTGTACTGACGACATATACATATATACATACAGCCAAATTCAATTATTGCCAAGAGATTATCATACTTAGTCGTCGTCGTCTTCCTCATCATCATCATCATCATCATATTCTTTTTCTACTGCTACTAATACAACAACAACTACTAGGACATTAAACATGATGCAATCAAAGGGTCAAAAAACCGATTACTGTCCAACACACGTTTATTCGATTAACATCGAAAATGTTCGTTGATTTTTTTTTTCTTCTTCTCACCGACAATTTACTCATTCATTCATTTAGATTATTCTTTTGAACTTATCTAAGTTATAGTGTTTGTCACACAATAATAATAATAATAATATACAGGTTAGAGTTTCTTTATCTAATTGAATGTATACAATATAAATGTGCATGGGTGTGTATCTTTATCTCTCTCTCTCTCCCTTTGTTAGTTAAAGCTTTATTGAGCCTATTCATAAAATTTCCCGTCTCTTAATCGGAAGGAGCCAATTTTTAAAACTTCCGTTAGTTGAACGGCACACATGCACAACGTCTTTTTCGGATCACGAGACACAGCGGGATGTGTCTATCGTTGCCTTAGTGTGTCACTTTTTATTTATTTCAAGTGTATATATATACATACACACAAAAAAACTTCTTCGTCCGCACGTCTTTTATCAATTGAACGGAGGCGCACGTCCGGACGGCTATCTTTTGCCTTTCTTTGTGTTTCATTTTAATAGAATATAAATATAAAAGACAAAAAAAAAAAAAAAGGACTCGAAAATATTTGATCTATACATAGATAGGAGAAGAGAGAGAGAGAGAGAGAGAGAGCGAGGGAAAAGAAAGTGTTCAATGTCTTTCTTTCTCCTCCTCTTTCGCCCACTTGAGAAGTAGCGACTACTACTACTACTGTTCAATGTTGTGTATGTATATGCAGACGAACAGAATGAAGATCTGTCATAACAGGTGAATGAAGTAATGGAAGAAATTGTAACCACATACATATACGGTAATAATGACAGCAGAATTAATGTCTAATGACACAAAGTTTGCGCATATAGACCATTCATAGAGCAAAAAAAAAAGAAGAAGAAGAGGAAACCGTTGCATACACTTGATCGAGTTTTGCGTGCGGCAAACAAAATGAGAGAAAGAAATTAGCACTTCAGTGAATGAACGTTTTTCTTAACAGAAGGTCAAACTTAGATGAGTAGCACTAAGATCGATTGTCGATGAACTAACTTTGGTTTTGTGTGCTTATTATTTGTTTATGCATAGTTGAGTATAGCCACGTAATAAACGATATATATATATATATGCTACGCTCAATCATCATATATATATATAGATTTTTTTTTCTTCTTTCACGAAATGCACACGCGCATACTTATTTTGTATATAAACACTGAGATTTCTATTTCATATGAACCGACACTATTCTATCGCCTCGAGATATTTTAAGATCATATGATGTCATTTCTCTAATGACGACTAATCGACTTTTATTGGTCACTGATGCTATTCATACATTCTATTAGAAATTGTCAAAATGTTAATCATTTGAGCATGTCTATATATAAAACTAGTATTTTGTCGTTTCCGACAACATACATGGACTGTACAGAAGAATGAACACATAAGATGAGCGTGTATTCTTCTATGTCACAAAATCAAATTTTTGGACATGCTATGCTAGAGAACGATTAGATATATGCGGGCATAGACAAAAATAAATTCACAATTCCATAAATGTCATTGGTGTTGATGCGTTTTTTTTCTTCTCTTTGCTTCTTTATTGAAATCAATTATTCGTACTCTATCAATCATTTGAATTTTTTCTTTGTCCCTTAGAATATACATATGTATACATATATACAAGTCAGTTATGAAATGCAAATAGAACATTATTAACTCTTATATATATATATGACACAATTCTTGAGATGTTAAGTAAACGTTCATGGACGAAAATTTTGAACAAGTTAAGTAACATTTTTTTTTTTGTCCGTCCACAAGAAAGACCTCAGATTTGATATGTATAAATCAACTTAAGTTTATTCTGTATTATATACATATATATGTATATGAGACAGAATACTTAGAAGTAGAAGTTTTTTAGCACGTATCTACATTAAAGTAGTTCATGTAAATATGACCTGAATATGAAGATGATAATAATAATTGTTAGTTATTTTTAAGTCATATAGTAATGTCCACGCGTGTAGTTGCATGACATAGCCGATATATGTCGTGTGTGTATGTACAACTAGGGTTTCTCTTCAAATGTGCATGTCTCTTTATCATCGCCGCCACGGTCACTACTATTCGACTATTGACCATTACACTACTATTGTATGACGCATGGAAAGTAATTCAGTTTCATTCATTTTTAATCAATTTGTAAATAGGCGAGAGCAAGTTCGTCTTCTCCGGAGGGGTAGTCAGTTGGCTATCCTCATCTGTACATATTTCTCAGTAGTGTATGTGTGTGTTGTTCTAATTACTATTGTATAGTATCCATTGCGTGCGTGTCATAGAACAAAAGAACAAAGAGAGAAGACGATTCTAGTGTACTATATGTATATATACATATTTCACCGCCCTCTTCAATTAGTGTTTTCAATGTTGTTCGTTTTATCAAACAAAAAAGAAATTGATCGCAAGATTATGATGTAAGATAGAATTTTTTTTATTTTTTTGGTGAACGATACGATGAATAAGAGAAATTATTATGATCTGAAATGTTGGATAATGAATGTATATGTATGTATCAGATGTTGTTGATACATCGGTGTCAAAAATATCATTATTAATCAACAACAAAAAAAAGAAAAAATTGTATCTGTTTTATTTCAGAATATATCTATTCATTGACGAATATAACAAAAACTAAAAATCATTAGAAATGAATTATTATCGACGATTATTTATTATTTGCTTATTATTTCTAACGATTGATATTATCTATGGTAAGTGTTGATAATTGATTTATGATTAACAGTAAAAGAAAGAAGAAGAAAAAAAAAAAGAGTCTATCATGCGAAAATTATTCCCAGAGGAATATCGATTAATATATATTTTGGCGCAAAATAAAATAGTAGACCATGCGAATGAAATCTAATTGAATAATTTATATATATTTTACAAAAAAAAAAGAAATGAAGGTTGAATAATGACGAGAAAATGTCTGTCAAGTTGAATTAGTTTGATTAAGAATAATCTGTTTGTAAATAGTAGAATTTCAATTATCTAATTCAAATATCACTCGAAAGTTATAAATAAACGAATCTTTAATATTGATAATTACTATTCTAAAAT